AAAATCTGATTCAGCTGTTTTCACAGGGTGCCAAAAAAATGTTTACACTCATGAAACATCCTCACAGTGTGTTCAAAACCGCTTGAACAAATTGAACTGTTTTTGTGATTCGGTCTAATGTACATACATATACCCCATACATGATTCAATAATTATTGAATCATGGCATAAACCCAGTTCGTTTGTTTTCACTAACACTTTTTACATACGAGTTTACAATTAAATTTATACATTTTTCTTTGACATATAAATTTAAAAAGTGAATTTATTGCATACAATTATTTCGAATCGCTTAAAAAATTCTTAGTAATGAACTCACCGCTTGGATCATATCAATATGGCGGCCGCCCCGTAAAAACAAGTAAACATTAATTTTGTGTGTAATACACGCATTAATCAAAATACTAAATGAAATTTTTAATAGCGGAAAATCAGGAAAAAACTCTGCTCGAACAAATTGCATTTGTGTGCTCATTTCTAATATTTTTGGCATTCTTTCCACTTTCATTACTTGTCTGTTTGGCTGTGATGATGGAATTCAAACGCGCAGTTGTATTCCGATTGGGGCGTTTAAGGTGAGCTTTGAGTAGCGATGAAAAGCATAATTGGCTTAGTTTATTTGAGGCAGTTATGACGATCAGAGAGAGATTTTACTCTGTGCGTGTCCATGTAAAACACAGTTAGACACTTCAGAGCGGTGGAGGGCATCAGCTTACCCACGGGCAAAGATCTTTCAAGCTTCCTATACTAAATGTATACCAGTGATGCTCAAAACAGCGGGCGGAACTCTTCAAATCTCTCTGTAGATTTTATAGGACGCGCACAGAGTAAAAGCTTTTGAAAGAGCTTTGCCCGTGGCAGGCCGGTGCTACCCCAGCGCTTCGGAGATGCGAGCTCCAAAGCTTTTATATAAGCTATATGTACAATTTTCATGCGGTTGGTATTTTACATAGACGAGAGTCGAGTAAAAACTCTCTTCGCACATTACTGATATAAGATCTGTAGAACGAAAAACCTCCTTCCGCGGGATTCGTTTTTGTCGCGACTGATTTAAGTACAAGTACATACGTATGTACTTATCTATATTCACACAAATTTATGTCATTAATCTGCAGGAAAGGTGGT